TTAAAATTGTATAGAACTATCTCTACTTGCAGCTGACACCATTAGTTACGCTACAATGCACTTCAGATGTTATTACCAAAGTGCTGTCTTCTGTATCTTTCTTTGCAGTATTTATAATACAGTATTATGCATTCTGTGTTAAAATTGAAGTTGTAAGTTGATGATATTTAGTGTATCCACTATATAGGATTAATCTGTTTGTCAAGTAATGTTTTTAAATGTATACAACAATAGTATACATATAAAGTTAATAAAATGATAGATGAAAAAGTTACTGACGGAGCTTCAACATATACTTAACAACTTAAAGGATAAAAATGAAATTGCTATTGTAAAAAAATATAGTTGTATTGCAAAACGTTACACAATTACGCTTACAGGTAGGACAATGTGTATTGATTTCTGCATGTATAATAATCCTATTTTCAATTAAAAATGTAGTAATATGCTGTGAAGCTAAATTGTTTTTTGCATTATTATTTGATTACAACTTTTACATTATTAAACAGGGTGTTATGTAGTACCCGCTTTACCTCTCATTTACGAATAGAGCGGATTAGACTGATTGTGAGTCGAAAAGTCCTGTTCCATTCTGTAATTTTCGCAGTAGGTAACGAGTTATTATTATTAAAAATCGCTGTCTTAGCCCGGTTTACCGCCCGATCGGCATTGCTAAGTGCGTGGGGAATTGTTTATGATAGACAGCAAAGGCTACGTATAATAAACAACTCCTCGCACGCCTAGCAACACCGATTGCGGGATGGTTGCATCTCTCAGCGCGCTTTAATTGGGTAATAGGCCGGGCTAAGATAGTGTTGGAAAGTGTTCACAACATCTATTTATCAAGGACAACACTGACGAGAAATAGCGACATCTAACTCTACCACGACAGTCCTTAGGTTGGCCCTACCGAGAAACCCCTCTCCCAGGTCTAGTTAGTGGATCCCTGTCGTCTCGTATCTACGTAGCAAGCTGGATGTTACATGGTCTTATACTCTCTCAAGTAATTCTGTATCTTATCAAATATACGCTGTTTGCACAAGCCTGTTTCTATTATTAAAAGATAGCGATTTTTTAATAATTAATAACTCATTAACTATTGCGAAAGTTGCAAAATGGTGGAGGACTTTCCGACACAGTCTAGTCCGCTTTATCCGTAAATAAGAGATGAGGCGGGTATTACATGACACCCTGTATATTATAATATAAAGTGACTGTAGTATATTAACTAGATTGTAACTTTTATATCTATATTTATATATAATATATTACATGGATATATTAAAACATTAATCATGAAAATGTACTTGCAATAAATAGCAAATATGTTCATAGATCGAATAAAATAGGAAAATAGTTTTCAACTTTAAAATCAAATTTGCGCTTGAGTAAATATTTTTCCTTAATATCCATACGTGCACATAAAATAATTACATAATATTACACATTTATGAATTTAAATGCCATTTTTATGTTTTGTAGTATTTGCAGTTTTTGGATTATTTACTTGTATTATAATTCCATTTTGGTCGAAACTAATGAATGCCATTGTACCCATCAATATATCTCAACCGTATCATTTTCCTATTATGATAGAATACTTTGTCGACCAAGAAAAATATTTCTACTTAATTATATTGCACATATACGTAACATTTCTTATAGGTGGGATTATAACAGTAGGAACAGGTACAATATTCATTACTTACATTCAACATACCTGTGGAATGTTTAGAATTGCTAGGTAGGTGTTACAATGTGGATAAGAATGAATTATAAAAGTCCAATAAGTAACTAGTGGAACTAGTGTACAAAACATATTATTTTTATATAATATGATTTAATATATAAAAGTTGTATGTAAAGCTTTGTTTTTAGCTGAAAATGGTGTCATTTAATAAATTGTTATACAGGGTGCTCTGCAACTTTTTGACCGCCGTTTATGGGCAGGTAGAGAGGACCAAGACAAATAGAAAAGTCATCTACCATTTTACACTTGGAGGTATAGTTATCGAGATATTGATGTTCAAAAATCGCCATATCAGCCCAACCTACCGGCAAATGTAAGCGCGCAGTGAGATGTGTCCGTCCGCCCATTGGCCGCCGCTCGCGGCGGTGCGCAACGGGGAGTAGGGAGACTTATGAAAAAAGTTGACCTTGCATAAATAGCAAATATGCAAGTTAATATTATGCATATTAACAAGTTGAGTGTGCAAGCGGTCGCGTAAGCGGCGGACGACGGCGGCGAACCTTCCTACTTCTCACCGCGCACCGCCTCGAGCGGTAATCAATGGGCGGGCGGACGCATTTTACCGCGCGCTTACATTTGCCAGTAGCTCGGGCTGATATGGCGATTTTTGAACATTAATATCTCGATAACTATACCTCCAAGTGCAAAATGGTAGAGGACTTTTCTATTTGTCTTGGTCCTCTCTACCTTCCCGTGAACGGCAGTCAAAAAGCGAAGCACCCTGTATAATTACAATTGTCATTGTAACAATATTTGTAGCTACCGTATTGAGCATGCAATGAGTTTCAACATTTTACAAAACATTACACTAAAAAAGGAGATCTTGATGACCAACGGTATAATTTATGCGGTAAACATGCATCGACAAGCTATGAAGTATGTATTTACGTTGACAATATTCAAGGGGTATGTTTAGTAACATTTTTTATTTTCGAAGATTGACCATGAGCTTGTTGTCAGTAGTGGATGTGATGATAGCTTGTTTAATAGCGTGTGGCATTATTTGCATAAGCATCAATTTGTTTTGTGTATGTTTTTGATTTTTGTTTTATATAATAATATATAAGAGTTGTTTCGAAATTATGCATATTAACAATAAAATACCAAGAAGTACATATGTCTAGAAAATTGATTCATTCGATTTTTCAGATTGCATCATTTGGGTATAATGTTATGGAATTATTTTTTCCGTTTCTCTTTGTACTCGTTGCTGTGATATATATGTTTCTATCCAACTATTTTGGACAGAATATAATAGATCATAATAATTACATATTTTCTACTGCGTAAGATAAATGAGAATA